CCATTCTTGGCTTCAGCTGGACCTGTCTTTGATGCTAGAGAATGCACAACAGAGCTGAGGCTTACCAAGGATAAAGTCTTGAAGCTTGGCAGTAAGGGCAACAAGCTGGAGCATGATCATGCTTTCTCCATGGAGCTGAACAAGATGAAAGCAGAGTTTAAAGGTTACCAAGGAGAAAGCTTTGATGGCTGCTGTTTGTCATGGTTGTTTGAAGACACCACTGAAAAGGAGGTCCTTGAAGTGGTTAGTTGCAAGAAGATTAGTGAAATCAAGATGGTTACTAAAGAAGGAGAAGGGGGGGGGGGGGGGGGGGGGGGGGGGGGGGGGGGGTGATCTTAAAGCCCTTTTGCTCTAAGGATAGTGAAATCTGTTACAAGCAGAAGCAAGGAAGCAAGTCTAAGCCCTTTGCTGAGATGAGGATTAATGGGGTCACCACAAAGATCAAGAGGAGAAAGACACCACCAAGAAGTTCCAAGACTCCTTCTCCTTACCTCGACTACAGAGGTAATCAAAGTCAAGCTAAGTGACTTTAAACAAGCACACTTGGGAGGTAGTCACATGGTATCCTTTGTATATATTTTGTTTTTTAGTTCATGTTTATGCATTTTTGTGTTCTTAGAAGCAGGAGTTTGGATTGGGGATTGAGAAGATGTTTAGAGAACCAAAATAGATGCCTTCTCGTTAGCATCGGTCATCTACATCGGTTATGCCAGACCAATGTAGGCTCTACCGGTCATGATCTTCGGTTAACCGATGCTGTAGTACCAGAACATGCATCGGGCAACCACATTGGTCACTTGTATCGGTTATCAATTGACCGATGGAAAAGAAGTATTCGGGAGATTTCCATCAGTCACTCGTATCGGTCATCAGCTGACCGATGGAAAGCAAACGAGTGTATGCAAACTCGTATCGGTCACTAGTATCAGTCTGTAGTGATCGATGGAAAGTGAGCGAGTTTTTGAAGGCCTACATCGGTCACTCGTATCGGTCAAGGAGTGACCGATGTTAATGGGCATGAGCTGTATCTGTCACTTGTATCTGTCATAGTTGACCGATACAACCCCATCAGTCACTTGTATTGGTCAAAAGTGACCATTGGAGGCTAGCGAGGTATGATCTTTAACTTTCAAAAAATTTCTTCTCTTGGTTTGGAGCCAAGGGAGTTTGAATTTAATTTTTTTGGCTCCTCCCTGCCATTCTGACCTACTTCTGAGCACTTTTGGTTTTGTCGCTCAGTCTTTAGATTCCTTATGTTCCCCCTTGGGCTCTTTATAAGCCATCTAACTCCTCTTTACTCTTCACACTTCACATTCTCTCTTCTATCCTATAAGCCACGAAATTTCTTTGCCAGTCCTCTCTTTTATTTGTTCTTTCAAAGTGCTCGAAAGTCCTAAAAGGTTTGCTTTCTTAACTCTTCATCTCTTGTTCTTATGCCTTGAGCTTGTTTAAAGTCTTTGAATCTTGTGCATTAAGAGCTGGTTTTGATTAGTTTAAGGTGCTTGTTTTGATTTTTGCATGGTGGAATCTGTTAGTTAAGCAAGTAGATTTTTTAGAGCTGATTATTGTTCATAAATCTAATTGCTTGCTTGCTTTGATTTCATTTGGCATAATCATGTTTCATTCTGTTTCAAAGCCACCATGCTAGGTTCATAGGCATAATAGTTTGAATCTGTTTAGAACTCTAGCATGTTTATGATTATTGCTCTTGAGTTCTCCTAGTTCTTTAGGGGGTTGCCTTGTTTAATAGCTAGTTAGACCTCTCTTAGAATTGCGAATTTTTTTTAAGAGCTCTAAATCATTGATATTCAACTTTTATGCTCATTATTATTGGATCTTCAAGCTTTGTTCTTGTAGGTACCATGGGGAGAACCAAAGAAGCTCCTGGAAACAAAAGTCAAGCACCTTAGAAGAAGGCACCTTCTGCTGCACTTACCACTAGAGACAAGGGCAAGGGTGTTGCTGATGGGCAATCTTCAAAGGCTACTGGAAAGAGAGCTGTTGAGAGAAAGGCTGCCAAGTCCAAGGACAAAGAAAAGGGAAAAGCTGTGGAAGAAGTCTCAACCAAACAGCCAAGTGCAAGGGAACTCATGGAGCTCTTCAATCAGTGTACCTTCAAGGCTACAAGGTACCCTTGCATACCCACAATGAAGGCTCTTGGAATATATGAAGATTGCAAGATAATCTTTGACAGTATGGGACTTGGCGAATTCATGGAGAAACCATTGCCTTCATACCAGCATCTCACCATTCAGTTTCTCTCCACTTCCAAGGTGGTGAGTTACAAAGAGAGTGAACTTGGCAATAGAAATGGCTGGATTTCCTTCAGACATGGCAAGCAGAAGTTCAAAGCAACCTTTCGGCAGATTGCTGAAGGCCTTGGTATGTATCCCTATGATGATAAGAAGGACCAGTTTGAGATTAGTAAGAGACAGCATGCAATACTATGGGAAGTGATTGGGGTTGAAAAATATACTCCAGGAGTCACAAGGAACCAGCATCTGAAGCATCCAGCTGTGAGATATGCTTACAAGGCACTTGCAAACACCCTTTTTGCAAAAAAGGAAACAACCATTATAACATCAAGGGAGCTGGATGTCATTTACAATGGAATGCAGCTACTAGTTAGCTCCAGCAAGGATGGAATTGTTCTAGGCAGGCCAACAAAACTCCCTTGTTATGTGAATCTACTGATGGCGCAACTTGATTCCTATAGAAGCTGGATCTTGCTCAAGGGGAAGAGAGAGAAGAAACCACAAGTACACATTGGAGGAGTTGTGATAGCCATGATGATGGCAAGTGGAGTAGATCTTGAGGAGCATGCTGAAGTTGCTTTGCCACTACTATGGATAGACCTGGTGCATCTCAAAAGGAGTCAGTACCTATAGTAGAGCATCCAAGGGAAGCACATATATAAGTTCCTCAAGCCATCCAAAGAGCTAGTGAGGTTTCTCCTTCCAAAGGAGCATCATACATCCATCACCATGAGGAGCAACATAGACTTTTGTCCAGAAGAGAGAGTGCTGTATCATGGTAGCCCTATCACTGAAGAAATAGAGGAGGCAGGTGAAGAAGTAGGTGAAGAAGAAGCTAAAGAAGACAGTGAAGAGGAGGTGCAAGAAGAAGCTCAAGTTGGCGCTGAAAGTCAAGAGGATTCCCAAGAGGAAACGCAAGATGTGGATGAGTTGCTGGAATACAACACCAAGAGGTTCCACTTCAAATCTCGTGAGGTTCCAAGCCAAGACAGCTCTCTGAAGAATGCCCATGACCACATCAACAAACTCCATAGGTGGTGTAAATGGCAGGATAAGACCATAAAGAAACTAGTGAATCTGGTCAAAGGGATGTTCAAGAAAGGCATGTCTACATCATGAGGAGCTTCCCAACAGAGCCATGGTCATGAGTATACTTCACAATATGAAGAGCAAGTGCAGAAGGAAGAACCTAATGAGGAAGAGGAAGCAGTCTGGATGCTCCAAGGGAGACACTCCTTCCAAGTGCAACAAACTGATCAATGGGCAATTTGGGAACCTTCAAGGGCTCATAAGACAAAGCACACGTCTTAAACATAAATAAACACCCAATCTCCAATCCATCCATGTCCATCACTGTCGCCTGGTCTTGCTCCCTTTACTGCTTATTACCTGCACACTCAAGAAGAGAGGCATAAGTATTTGATAAATACTTAGTGAGTACGGTCATCCCGTAACACCTGGTCAGTACCAATCACGCATTCATACTTTCGGATTCAACATCCCACACAGTCAATTCGCAATAGACATAACACATATATTAAACGACCATGATCATCTAACTTAACCACCTAAGATCAATCCCATTTTAAGACCCATGTCTACTTCAGCGAGAATCCCACATCCCCTAAGCTAGTACGTGATCCGGATTACCCTGAGGTTAGCTAGACATCATCTATGCCACGGTAAACACCTCATAATACCATAACACATAATCGCTTAACAGTTCTAAACACACAACATAAAAATGACACAATCAAACATGCAAAACATCATACCCTAGCAATCCAACGATCCAAAAAACCGACCACAATCATGCACTCACCTTAAACAAGGTTGGAAACAGATTGGCCAGAAGAAATCTCGATGAAACCCACACCAAATCAAAGATATCCGATTACCCTAGGAATCTCTCGGCTGTCCCGATCCCTTTTCCTTCGGCTATCTCTCGATCCGTTCACATTTCTTCGAGACAAACTCTGTTTACCCTCGGAAACCCCACAAAACAAGGCTATAAGCTCGAGGTTATCCGATGGAAACTCAACACTTAGGGATCAGTCGCTTACCGATTTATCTCGGCAATGGTCGGATCTGCTCGGCGATAGCTCAATCTCTCTCGGATGTCCTCGTGATAAACTGCTTTTCTTAGGGTTTTTCACTCGACTAAAGTCTCTCTTTGCTTTATTTAGCTCAAATAAACGCAACACCCTCGAGTTAAGTCTCAAAAATCCATATATACTCGCAAAACCCTAGGTAACTCGGACTTAACCGACATTTTCCTGGTTCGAGTAGGATTTATCCCGAACCGATTAGATTCTCTCGGCTATTCCCTGTACCGACGGACCATCCGCGCGATAAACCAACAAAATAGCCGACAAAACACTTGGCCCACGGCCCAAATCCCTTTCCTCTCGGATATACTGCCCTTATCCGAGTTATTTCCATTTTCCACCCGGATATTTTCTTTTCGCTCGGACAACTTGTCCCACCTCGGCTAATCCTCTTTTCCTCTTTCCCTCGGAGACAGTCCACTGTCACTCAGACTAACCTCACTATCACTCGGATAAATCCCATTTTCTCACGGACTGGACCATTTTCACTCGGATATGGTCCATCCGGCTTGGCTATCCCAGCCATCCATCCGACTATTTCCCAGTCATCACCCGACCATATTCTGAACCTCCCAGTTCCCAGTCAATATCTGTCATTGGCTCGATCATTCCTCGGACAACGCCCTGTCCAGCTCGATCATTCCGAATTTTCTCGGATACTGATGCTACAACTCTCCCCCACCCATTTTGGATTCGTCCTCGAATCCGACTCGTCCGTTTGCAACTTGTCAAACCATTTGGGATACTCATCTTTCATCCTAGCCTCCTTTTCCCAAGTAACCTGTTCGTGCCCGTTGCAGTCCCATATGACCTGAACCATTCTAACCAGCTTCCCACGCTCAGTCTTTTCTTTCCTGTCTATCACCCGGACCGGCCTAGCAACCACTGCAAGGTCCTTTTGCAAGTCCGCATGTGCTTCCTCTATAACCGTTTCCCGTTCGGTTATGTGCTTCCTTAGCTGCGACACATGGAATACATTATGGAACACTCTCATTTCCGATGGTAAGTCCATCTTGTAAGCCACTACGCCAACTCTTTCCACTATCCGGTACAGTCCCATGTACCTCGAACTCAACTTCGCATACATAGCTGTCCTGTCAGTTCCCTTGTAAGTCAATGCCTTCAGATAAACCATATTACCCACACTGAACTCCAAATCCATGCGACGCTTGCCCGCTTAACGTTTCTGCCTATCCATAGCCTCCTTCAGCTTGATCTTTAATAATCTGATCTTTTCTGTAGTAGCCTCGTGATGCAAGAGTTTTTGGGCTCTTGATGTCAATCACCCAAGCTTGTAATAGTCAGTTGTAGCATAGCATAGGGTTTTTATAAATCCAAATGGGTTTTGTTGAAAGCAGAAGAGTTATGAGTAAAAATCCTTAAGTCAAGCAAGCACAGAAGAGTTTTTGTTGCCTAAGCAACCAATCTATCACCCTAAGATGATCAAGCAACAAAGAGAACAAAGAAAAAGGCAGTTTAAACAAAATTAAGCAAGCAAAAGAGAAAAGCAAGTTCCTAGATGTGGTTATTGACTTTGGGGAATCTAGAGACTAACTAAGGCTGTTCCAAACAACATTGATCAAGCAAACAAGCTAGCAATGGTGATTCCTAGATATAGAGTTCACAAACAAGCAAGCTAGATCCAATCTCTTGTAAAATAGCCCTTTGCTAAACACCTTAACAAGAACTAACTCTCATTAGTGCTAAAACATTCAGCAAGCATTAATAAACAACTCTATTCAAGTCAAAATGCTCCTCAAACAGTCAATCTCTTGAGCCAAGGCCAGCAAATTCTCTATTAAACATGATCAGCATTTCATCAAACAGTTGGTGGGCATAAGAGAAAGCCTAAATTCTAGATAAGTGTGATCAAGACAAATTTAGTTTAAGAACAGATTAATAGAGAGGAACCCATATACTGAAGCACTAAACAAGCCTTAATCAATCCTTAAATCCCCTTAATATAGCACATCTAAGAACCCTAAGCAAACTACTCACTAATATTTATGTTTAACACCAAGTCACAAGAGGAAAAGGTGCTAATCATGATTAAAAGAGAGATTAAAGAAAGATTAAAGGAAAATACCAACTTATATTAAATAAAGCAAAAGATTTGTCTTACAAACTCAAAGAAAATGCTTAAGAACAGTAAATTGACATGACTTCTCGAAAATACAGAAAAGGGGCTATTTATAGCCAAAAGAAGGAAGCCCTAGAGTAATGGCAAAAGTGTAAATAAAACAGGCTCGGACTGGGTCTGTATCGATCAGTTATAACGGTCTGGGCTTGATCGAAACGAATCATATCGGTCTGGAAAGTGATCGATACAGTGACCCAAAATTTATACGGTGCATTAGTATCGATCACTCCTGACCGATACATTTGATTGTTACACTTTGTATCGATCACCCCTGATCGATACTCTTGATCGATACTGCTTGTATCGATCACTCCTTGACCGATAGCCTCCGTGCTCTGACCAAAAAGCTCTGCAGAGATCGTCTGCCTTGGTCCCTTTTGCTACTTTTGGCCCAACTAGCTTCCTGGATCATCCTCAAAGCTCCTCCAAGCTCTTTTTAGCTTCATAAGTACCTAAAAACGTCCATAATGCAAGAAGAATGCAAACTATATCCTAAATGAAACCTAAGCCTAAAAGGAGAAGAAAATGGGACAAAAACTAAGGAAAACATGTAAAAGAGAACCAAAACATGTACTAAATGCAAGCCTAAATGGTGAAAATACAAGAGATATCAACACCCTCACACTAGCCTTTTGCTTGTCCTCAAGCAAATAAGAACAGATGAGAGAGTGAGGTTTGAAGGTGGGCATTCAGATTCCAAAAGCGCAAAGGTAAAGAGATGGTGTCAATGCTTAAGTGCCTAGTTGTAGGATGCAAACATAATCAGCTATACTTTAAAGAACCTAGCCATGCTCATCATGTTTCAAAATGATCTCAAATCTCAACCTAGGCAAATGCTCAAATCAACCAACTCTTTAACATTCAATTAAGTTCAGAACCATGGATAATGCTTATGCAAATCAAGTGAAGAAATTTGGTTCAAAAGGTAAGGTCATGAGATAAAAATGATCTCATTTTACCAAAGGGTTATTAAACATAAGGGATCACTCAATGAAAAAGATTCCATCTTAGGCAAAATGCTAAAGGTAAAAGCACACTTATGATTGCAATTCAAAGCTCCCTTCTACCCAAAGATGAATCCTAAGCACTTCTAAACCCAAAGTGAACACCTAAGTCTACCCTTTCCTAAACTCTAACCTTTACCCTTCTTCATGGCTGGGTAAACTTCTTCTTTTTGCTTGTGTGGCTGCTTCTTTTTGGTTGGGACTTGCTCTTCTTTGTTGCATTGGCACCTTCATCACCTTTGATGGATTGCTCTTGGTCTGATTTTTCTTCTATTGACCTTTCTGAGCTTTGTTGCAGGCGCCTTACTTCTTTACACTTAGAGCTTTTACTTCCTTTTACTTAACCACAACTCTAGACTGTTTCCCCTTTTCTACCATTTCAAATCTTTTCCTTTTCTTTCAAAACATATGTACATGAAGTTCAAACCACTTACACTACCCTTTTACCCAAAACTCCTATCCTAGAATCAAGCTCAAGATGCAAGCTGATATCTGCAAGAGAGCTTATTATTTCCAGCCTTATTCCTAACACTTTTTGCTAAGACAAAATCGAAAATGATGATCAAAGGCCTCACAGCTCTCAAGATAGTGTTTAGGCTCAAAAGGAAGTTTTGGTTAAAGGTGTGGATGTAACTGTCCCATAAGTATGAGGATCAGCTATTTGGATCAACAAGAGTGGTAGAAAGGAAAAAGATGATCCAAATATGTGTATTGTAGCCATGAAATCACTTTTCAATGCATAAGACATGATAATTAACAGTCCAAATTAAAGTTCAAGTTGATAGAGTTGATTTTCAGAGAACAAATGCTTTCATAATGGGATGAGAAGAACAAATCTAGCAATCTAAGCATAGTTCAGCCTTAACTTCTAGCAATCTTATGATGCATCAAACAACTAGCCACTTAAACACTGAAATCATCTCTAAACTCTAAGCACTTTACAAGGAAAGTTTATCATAATGCCCTATGTAAATGCAATGCAACATATATGTCAACACTAGACTCAATCTTAAGAGAATGATATGCAACTATATGCTTTATTTTTGGTTTGCAGAAATGCAAAATGTTTCAAATTTTTCGAATTTTTGTGTTTTTCTATGCCTTATATGAATGCATGATATGCATGAGAATCAAAATGAGAGAGAATGAAAAACTAAGAAAACAAAACACAAAGTTAAACCCCAAATCTCTCCCCCACACTTAAATTACACAGTCTATTGTGTAATGAAAGCAATGAGAGACAGAAGCAACAAAATATAATACAAAAAATGAAAAAGATGCAATGGTATAGACAATGAATAAGATGTGGTACCTTGCTTAATAGTAGAAGTGGTGGGATGATCCAGATGTCTGATGAGTCTTGCTAGCTCTCCTCTTCTTCCTCCTCTCATAAACCTTTGTAGATGGTGCTGCTTCTTGTGTGGGAGCAACCCAACTTGACCATAACCTCTCTGCTTAGGAAGAGTCACCTTGTGTACCCCATTGCCATGATTCTTGAACTTCAGAGGGAATGGGTGTTGGTTCTCAAGCTGATGGTACATGGGTTCTTGGCTCATATGATGAGACCCTTGGTTGTGCCCATGTCCCCCATTGATCACTAGGCTGTACATGGAAGGAGTGTCTTCCATGGGGATTCCATACAGCTTCTTCCTCTTCAGTTGGCTCAGCTTGTTGCTCAGGCTCTTCTTGATGAGGAGTGTGCTCATGAGTATGGCTCTGATGGGAAGTTCTTGCTGATATAGCCTTGTTTTTCTTGAACTTTCCCTTAACCATTTTCACCAAACTCTTAATGGATTTGTCTTGCCATTTATATAATTTCTGGAGAGAGTTGATGTGTTCATGAGCCACCTTCAAAGAGCTTCCTTGGCTGTGTACTTCATAAGGTGTGAAGTGGAACTGCCTTGAACTGTAGCTCAACACTTCTTCTTCTTCAAGCTCATCTTCTTCGTCTTCTTCTTCAATCTCTTCAGTGTTTCCTTCCTCATTGTCTTCTTCTCTCTTTGCGACAGAGCCGCCTTTGTAGAGCTCCTCTTCACTCAGATTGACGTTAATGTTGGTCCTTTTTGTGAAGGAGGTGAGCCTTGGGTTAGGGAGAAGGACTCTTGCTGGCTCTTGGAGATCATTGAGGAATTTGTAGACATGCTTGTCTTGAATACTCTTCTCAATGAGATGGCTTCTCTTCAGATAATCCATATATATCCATGAAGGACCTAGAGCATCTTCAGCATGTTCCTCAAGATTCACACCACTGGCCATGAGTATAGCTGTCACAACTCCCCCAATGTGAAGTTGTGGATTCTTCTCCCTTTTTCCTTTCTTTAGAACCCAGTTCTGATAGGTTAGCAGGTGCTCCATCAACAGTCTTACAAAGCATGGGAATTTGCTTGGTGGACCTATAGGTGTTGCATTTTCGTTGGTGTCCACATTGGCATACAATCCAGTATAGATGAAGTCTCTCTCCTTGCCAGTCAGGTGTGTGGTTTCCTTCCTTGCAAAGAAAGTGTTTGCAAGCGCCTTGTGTGCATATCTAACTGCAGGATGCTTCAAGTGTTGGTTTCTTGTGGCTCCAGCTTTGAATTCCCCAACTCCAATTATTCCCCATAGCTTTATGTACTGCGATTCTCTGATTGAGAACTTGTTTCCTCTTTGACAATAAGTGCTCAGCCCCAGCTCTTGAGAGAGTTTTTGGAAGGTGATTGTAAACCTTTGCTTCCCAAGCTTGAAGGCGATCCATCCATCACGGTCGGAGAGCTCACTCATTTCATAACTGACCACCTTGAGAGTGGAAAGGAACTGATGAGTGAAGCGCTCATAGGAGGGAAGAGGCTTTGTCAACAGCTCGGTAAGCCCCATGTGCTCAAAGATGCACATGCAGTCTTCATAGATCCCTAGCTCCTTCATTGTGGATGTGCATGGGTATCTCGTGGGCTTGAAGGTGTATTGACTGATTGCTTCCATTAGCTGCCTAGTACTGTGTTTCCTGAATGGAAC